CTATAATAAAATAGTAAAAAGGCAAGTTTATGACAAAAATTATCCTTATGACAAATTTTGTAGAAAAGTTGAATCCAGAAAAGAGCAAATTTAAATAATATAAATTTTTGAAGTTTTTTTTAAAAAAACTAGGACCCCAGATACTCTGTGACACTGCTCGGAAATGTTTTGTCTATGTGACATGGCCAAAAGATTTCTGAGCAGTGTGACATGGTCAAAAGATTTTTTAGCAGTGTGACAAGGCTAAAACATTTCTGAGCAGTATGACATGGTCAAAACATTTCCGAGCAGTGTGACATGGTCAAAACATTTCTCAGCAGTGTCACACAGCTAAAACATTTCCTACCAGTCTGAAACCCTTCAAACATTTCTGACCACTCTAACATGCTTCAAAAATTTCCGACCACTTTCAGATGGCTAGGATATTTTTCAATGCAATATATCAACCCAAACATTTCTGGTCACAATATTGAAGGTGAAAGATTTTTGCCCAATGCAATAATATATTTTCCTCCAGAGGCAAAAAAAATAAACAGCCAAAGAACCTATTAGCCTGGATATATACCTATATGTTTCAAGGCTAATAGCTTGTTCAAGGTGGGTGACTGAAGTGAATGTGGTCACCTACTTCTCAACAACCTCGACACAAACTCTTACATCCCAGCGGAGGCAATGCCCACCATTGCTGAACTGGAGATGTTCAAGCCTTCTTACGATGTTCCAGAGAAAGTTCTGACTAAAACTCGGGACAGAATCATGCTAGAGTGTCTCCGTTTCGGAGATCAGGTTAAGATTCTCGTTGGAGAGTATCAGGGATTATTGGGAGAAGTCGAAGCAATTGACGGCTTGGAAGTTCAGGTCACTATACCCACACAGGGTGTCACTCAGGGGATTTTGATGCCCTATCTACAAAGAAACTTCCAGATTGGGGATGAGGTCCAGATTATGACAGACCTGAATCCTGGGTTTATAGGATGGGTGATGGCTGTTGAAAATGCTACAGCTATATCCACAATGAGAGTTGAATGTTTTCCTCTCATCCACTTGTGTAAGAGGCCATTGCAAGCATGGCAGGAACGAGTCCTATTTTGCAAGAGTGGTAGTGACCCATTTCTGCTTTCTTTTCGCTTTTTTTCTGGATTTGTGGCTATATTTTTTACAAACTAGTATATCTTTCTATTTGAGTGTCACTCTGGGCTTCAAGCAGAGTACCTCAGTATGATCACCATCAATGAAATGAGCAATATTTCTTATTTGGAAGTCTATTTAAACTTGACATCATCACTATTAATCAGCACCATCCTCAATTTTCTCTGATTTCTCTGCCATGTTATGACTATTTTTATTAGCTTACCATATTTGGATATCTACTTTAAACCCTGAACACATTATCTAATGATGATCCTACAACCAAAGAGTGCATACTGCAAGAAAAACCATGTCATTTGGACCAGAAGTGGCAGAGCTAGGTAGGGACTATTTACTAATTATTCAATATGTGCAAACAATTTTACCTCCTTGGTGGTAAAGTTGTTTGCATTCATTTTTGACTATGTCATATCATGTAGATTGAAGTTTAGTATACAGAAACCAAAGTTTTCTGAGAGTACACATGTCATTTCGGACTATTTATTTGTATTTACCTACATTTAGCCTCATTTCAGAATGATCCTACAATTAAGGAGTGCATACTGCAAAAAAAACCATGTCATTTGGACCAGAAGTGGCAGAGCTACATGTAAATCTTCATTTTTGGTGCACCAAGATGGATTACTAATCATTCAACATGTGCAAACAATTTTACTGCACACGCAGTAAAACTGTTTGCATTTGTTTTAAACTATGTGATATCATGTGAATTCAAGATCAGTACACAGAAACCAATGTTTTCTGAGAATACACATATCATTTCAGACTATTTATTTATATTTACCTACATTTAGCCTCATTTCAGAATGATCCTACAATTAAGGAGTGCAGACTGCAAAAAAAACCATGTCATTTGGACCAGAAGTGGCAGAGCTATGTAGAAATCTTCAAGATAGATTACTAATCATTCAACATGTGCAAACAACTTTACCTCCTGCGCAGTAGGTCTGTTTGCATTTGTTTTTGACCATGTGATATCATCTGGATTCAAGTTCAGTATACAGAAACCAATCTGAGAATACACATGTCATTTCAGACTATTTATTTGTATTTACCTACATTAAAAGGAGGGATGTACATACAATGTCAGAAAGGAATTTGGACAATAACATCTTCGCATCATTAAGTCCTATGTATTCCTGTAAAGATGTATAAGATTAGTAACATACATATATGTCTGAGCAAATAATGCAGTGTGAAGTTCTATTCCTGATATATGAGCTTAGTAAAATAAGAAGAGGGAGAAGGTATACTTACAAGAGGATGGCCGTGACAAAAAGTAGAGACGGCAGTGGGCATAAGCATCAACAGTGGTGGATGCAAAGGTACATTGGTGTTGTGCCGTTCGTTCACATCGTGAAATTCTATTTTGTAAGGACATACAAAGTTAGTAAGAGAAAACACAAGAGATGGATGAAATATACATACAATCAACACAGAAGTAAGATATGTACTTACGACACAAGAAACAAATGGAAGCAATTTGGACATTAACACGTTTGTGTCATTAAGTTCTACATGTTCCTGTAAAAACATATAAAGTTAGTAAAATAGGTAGTAGGCATTGAGCAAATAATGCCAAATTATGACGTGTGCCAAGGATCGTCTGAACCTGCACTGGGGTTCAGATGATCCTTGGCGTACATCATAATTTGGCATTGTTGCCCATCCAGACGTCTTTCAACTTGAACAAACAAATCCACCATGCACATGGTGGATTGGTTTACATTTGTTTGAACCAGACGCTGTTGTCTCTCATTACCTTTGGTGTTCTGAGGTGGTGAGTTCCTCTTGTCATCTCCCCCCATGCAGTTGAAGGTCTTTGGCAGTTGATGTGGATCAGCCCCAGCAGATGGTGCATGATGACAATGACAATGCACAACAACAGAGAACGACAATGCACAATGACAGTGGATGACACTGCACAACGACAGCAAATGACAAGGGTCTGAACTTTTTGCAAGTAAGTTCCCAGTTACCCCTACACATTCTCGAGTACCGTTGACTACCATTGATGCTCATGCATCCTCTGGTAGATTTTTGATACTCTCGACCCACATTGTAACAAGGACCTATGTCCATCACCTGCTCATCATAGCTGACATCCAGTGGTGTGAGGAACGGTGCAGGTAGAGCAGGGGCATTGGCACACTCGTTGTCATTATCCCATGTGGCGATCTGCCAAGTTCCTGTGAAGATTACATGGGACTCAAGGGATGATGGGGCAAGTGTGCACATGCACTTTGTGGATAGCAGAAGGATGGATTTCAAGCTGATATTGACTATTTTGAGGAGGTGAGTTGTACTTCCATTCTCATTTTTGAGAGAGCAGGATTAACGAATGGGTTTAGGGAGGGGCAAAGCTGTGCTATTTGTAGTTTTCACATCATTTTTGTAGTTGACAGTACAAGGTTTTACTGACCATGTGAACTGTTGGGTGATGGGGTGGATTCCCAGTTAACAGCAGTTCTTCTATGTTCATCAATTCTATTGCCTCATTTTTGTCCATTGTATGGTTGTCACATTATATATAGTTGAATGGACTAGTGCATATGGCAGCAGTCATTTGTAATTTTGTATAAGTGGTATCCAGTAAGTTGCAGCATTTCTTGTGAATACATTTATAGATGCTTTTCTCTTTTTGAGGACCAATTATGTAATGCATACTACTACAATGTATGTAATTATATTGCTTGCAGTTGTATATTATTTTTCCATTTTATTTGATGTAATTTGGAGTAGATATGACAGAGTTGCAGTATTTTCTTTCAGAATTGCAGGTATAACTTGGGCAATGACATGCCAATCATGTAATATATAGTGCACCGTTTTACGTAATCCAATTGCGCGGAATTTTACCTTTTTTCTGGAGTTTATAAAATAGCTGGCATGGTCAATCTGACAATCCCCAGAACTTCCTCTAGTCTTCAGGAACATACATCTACCACAGTAAAGAATATGGCTTGCACATTAGCAAATATTTACTTCTGGTAATTTGCAAAATATCTGATGATGGTACATTTGTACTCCAAGAATAATAGACATTAGTAATGATTCAGTAGGTAAGCTGGTCTATTATAAGCAATTATCAATATAAACTCAACAAAAGAGTAGTCAGTAACAACCTTTATTATCTGATAAAGCAGAATTTAGAGGCTATAACTATATAACAAATAGCTGAATTACCAATAGATACAGTTGCATGCAATATATAACTTGCTTTTTCCATAATAAAATAGTAAAAAGGCAAGTTTATTACCAAAATTATCCTTATGATAAAATTTGTAGAAAAGTTAAATCCAGAAAAGAGCAAATTTAAATGGTAAAAAAATTTGCAAGTTTTTTTTTTTTGAAACTAGGACCCCAGATACTCCGTGACACTGTTCGGAAATGTTTTGCCTATGTGACATGGCCAAAAGATTTCCGAGCAGTGTGACATGGTCAAAAGACTTTTTAGCAGTGTGACAAGGCTAAAAGATTTCCGAGCAGTATGACATGGTCAAAAGATTTCTGAGCAGTGTGACATGGTCAAAACATTTCTCAGCAGTGTCACACAGCTAAAACATTTCCTACCAGTCTGAAACCCTTAAAACATTTCTGACCAGTCTAACATGCTTCAAACATTTCTGACCACTTTCAGATGGGTAGGATATTTTTCAATGCAATATATCAACCCAAACATTTTTGGTCACAATATTGAAGGTGAAAGATTTTTGCTCAATGCAATAATATATTTTCCTCCAGAGGCAAAAAAAATAAACGGCCAAAGAACCTATTAGCCTGGATATATACCTATATGTTTCAAGGCTAATAGCTTGTTCAAGGTGGGTGACTGAAGTGATATTTGTTACTTTCTGGTACTTTATTTTCTATTAACTGATATATGTGGTAGCTGCGAGTACAAGAACGATCTTGGAGGGTAAGTTACCTCAAGAACTTCATCCAGGGATGTTAAATCATCGCAAACGTCGAACATTGGTGCGCACGGAGAAAATTCAACTAAAACCGGCAGGCGACGGAATGAAAGGTAATTATTATCCTCCATATCAGTGTAACAAATGTGTGTTTAATAAGTTTTCCCAGGTGTCTGGAACCAATATGAGGATGAGAAAGCAGGTTCTCCAGAGGAACAGTATATACGGACGGTCACAACTCTGGCCAATAAAGCCCATGTCATTGTGACACTTAATAGTTGTCTTGCTTCGTTTGTCTTGTCAGCGCGATGGATTATGGTTGACACAACGTTCAAGGCCGTCCATGGAACAACCAATGAGTTCAAGGTCGTTATTTGGGTAAATAGCCTTGACAAGCGTAAGTTTTTTTTCTTTCTAGTAATGTGTGTTTGAATTAATTGAATCACTATCAGGTCTTGTTGTCAGTCGGGTTTGGATGAATGGTCAGTCGAGGGAGGCTTTTTTGCATGTCTGGAACGGAATCTTTGATGCAGTGCATGCAATTACTGGGAAACAACTGAATTTCAAGATATTTTCGAAGCTTTCACCACTTCTGTGCGTTATCGATGACCAGGAAGGTGCACAAGCATTAGGCTTCGCTGACATGGTGATTGCGCGACGCTTGAATGTTGGCGCGCTCCCATCACTCGTTGACCCCGATTCAATTTTGAAGCATTTGTGGAAAACCTGCCTTGTCCATTTTGAATGGTGCATTCATTTTTTATGATATGAAAAACATTTGTATTAACAGATTAATAATAAACCAGAGGTATTCTTGAACTCAAAAAGAAAGGGACCCTTTCCAACCAGGCCCTCCAATTCCTTTGAACGTTTCCCCATCTCAATTCCGACACTGCCGTTGAAAATTATAAATCATATTGTAATCAGTCGACGGATAAAAATTTACAAAGTAAGTCATGTCTTATAAATTCTAGCGAAGTCACTGGACAACAAGATCCTATTAAACAGATTGGTGGGCTCATAAATTGAGCTACCCATGGCTTTTGCCATCTTTGAGTCACCACCTGTCTCTCATGAAGCATGCACATTGGGACTTGGCCCCAAGCAACACAAATCCGATTGAGGGGAGTCATGCAAATGATAATCAGATCAGAGGGATGAATCACTCCCTCCTCGAGGCTATTTTACTGTCAGTTTGACTCGACTATCCATTCACTTACAGGCTCATGCAACTCTCCTTACAGTGCCAAGGCCGTGGACAGCGAAGAAGCTCGCATATTGCAAGCTTCACAAAGTTCTGGGATCTTAGAAAACCCACACAACTCTCTTGAGAAGCGCTTTACATCTCAAGCTGCACGAAAGGCCAAGGCTTGCGCGAACAAAGCTGAATCTTCGAAGGCCGCCGCTCTTTGTGCAAAAATCCAAGAACTTGAAAATGAGCTGAAAGACCTGTCACCGTCGCCTCGCAAGTCACAGTTGACCACTTCTGCAAAACAGCACAGTAAGAGTCCTTTGTTAGAATGTTTTCCTTGCTCCCCTGACTGATACGGTCACCAACAGCTTATGGCTCCCAGCCCCGCCGTGCAGCACTCACCCCTGTGCAAAAGTGCCTTTCCCGGCCATATTCACTGGATGGCTTCCCACAACCTGACTCAGATGACGACTTCGCAAATCTTTCTATTCCTATTCGCCGCTCACTCTTTGACATCGCTGCAGAAAACCTAAAGGCGCATGACGACTTACCTCTATCTGACTTTGATTATGATGAGGCAATGAGGTCTGACGTCATGGATGCCATTTTCGAGGTCTTAACGAAAGATAGTCAACCTGTTGAGGTTGATTCCACTGGCCATACTTTGTATGCCATGGATGAAAACGAAGATTTACTGATGTCCGACCCATTTTAGTGAAATTCTCAATACTTAATAGTAACTTACTCCTTAGTTAGCCTTTAATACCTTTTGATTGTTCAACTACATATACGTTACTCATTTTTATTTTGAAGAACGGCGATAAACAACTTTCAACTCGAGTCACATTGCTAGGTGCATATTTGCATGTGTATGCTAGCACTTGTGACTTGGTTGAGTCATGCGTTATGAGCCCTAGAAATCTTATAAGTATGCATTGCCTTGGCTACAAACAATGGGTGCTCGTAAAAATGGTCTTAAGAGGAGCTAACATGCCTTTTAATTAGTTCCCTCAACTGTTTGGACATTCAAGCTTTTTCCCCCACTGTTTGAGGTGCGAAACAAAAAATATTGTATTGTCTGTAGTTGTTTGGTAATTGTTTCCCTGCCCATTAAGTCATTTAAATTTTAATTACAAAATGCAGCCGGCGCTCCGGCTAGATAATGGACTGTATCCGATGTTATGCTGTGTACACCAGATTTTCGTTTTCGCTTCTGGTACATACTCTCCTGGAACTGAAGTGCACCCTTTGCTTTCGCACTATACGCCTCGTTCAGCAAATTCCCTGCCTGCAGGGCAATGTTTCGGTTTGTGAGCTATTCATTACTTTTGTGGGACTCTTGAAGTGCGGCAAGCAGCAAGACCTCGGTCTCAGTCGTTGGCTCAATGGAGAGAAGAGGAGATGGTTGGGGGTGGGAGATAGTATGGGTGATGGTGGTAGGCATCGTATCATGGGATGTCATCAATGTGGTTGAGATGAGGTGAGCAAGTTTGGTTTGTGACAGCCCTTTGATCGCTTCGTTGATCACATCTAGTGTTTAAAGGTTCAGTTCAGTCCGGCTTTTTGCCCCGAAAACGCGCAACCGTGGACCGTAACCGGTCCAGGACCGACCCAGATATTGAGGGAACCGAACCGAACCACCTAGGACCGGTCTTTTGCGGTCCATGATACTGGTTCAGACCGATCCAGACCGGTTTTTTTGCGTATAATTTATTATACCAATATAAACCATTTGTATCTCAACCATTATTACTCTGAAAAATAAACGGGTTATATAAAATAGTAAAGCATATAAATACCCATCATTCTACCAATTTTCAAGAGATTTAATGAAGATTTGACATAGCTATGACTGAAACCGAATCACATCTCATAGAGACTCGGGTAAAATATGGATTTGGTTATATCTTTCTCAATTCTTAACCGTTTTTGATGAAACAAAAACCCAATAAAAGGCAATAAACGTGGTTACAAGGCTATGTAACGCACGTGACCGTTTAACCGGTTGCAACCAATTAAAACCGGTCTTTGAACGGTTTTAAAAGATTTTCGAAATGAGGCAACCGGCAACCGGACCAACCCCAAATTGGGGCAACTGCAACCGAAAAAAAGACCGGACCATGGTCCGGTTCAGTTCGGTCCACCGGTTTTTTGTGGTCCTATGGACTGAACCTTTAAACACTAATCACATCGTGTTTAGTGTTTGATGGACCGGCGATCGGGGCTTCGGAGATGGGTTCATCTTCCGCTTCATCAATCTTGGCAAGCTTTCGTAACATTGTCACAAGGACGTCAATTGCGGGGTCGTCAGGGGGAAGAGGAACATGTGCCTCACATGAGGTATCCTTGCTTGGTGTGAGCATTTCTGCTGTTACGATGTTTGGGTTGAATGGCCACACCCCAGTCTTCTTGAAGGCGGCGTTGATATTTTCGGGGGTGAGCGCATGAACATGGGCTTTTCCATACACAGTGAGGAAGCTATTCTTATCCATGGCTGCCCCATCACTTGTCGCACTCCTCACCAATCAATTTCTTGAGTGGAGAGAAAATAACCATGTCAAGGCCTTGATAGATATGGGTGCCATGTGGGATGTAACATAGAACAATAATGTAGTTCTCGCGTGTGTAAATGAGAAAAGCAACGGTGTAGTGAGAATTGTGTCTGTCAACCAGAAGTAGGCGATATTCTCCTGGCTTGACCTTGTGCTTTGTTTGTTGATCGAAGATTTTGATCCATTCGATGCCAATCTCACTCCACGTCCAACCTTTCTTTTGATATCCAATGCTACGAAAATGTCAGGTCAGAAAGAAAGAAAAAAAGAGGAAAACTCACGAAGCATTGAGAGGATTATTCTCTCCCCAACTCACTTGGTATGCAGAACCCTTGAAAATAATGGTAGGCGGTGTCGATGTTCCATCTGTGCAGATGGTAACAATAACCGTGGTATTTTCTCGGGTGCCAGCCTTTTGCTGATACTGTGGTCCTTTCTGTGTGCGTGAAGCAGTGATGCGCTTGCGCTCTTGACCACGCAATTGGAATCCAGCTTCATCAGCCCCGAAAGTTGTCTCAGGTCTAATTTTATATGTGGTAATTGTGTCACGAAGGAGATCCCAATAGCAGCCATTTGCATTGGGGTTAGCAGCCTGCGCATGCAGCCTTTCAAGAGGGCGAGAATCCACCATTTTGATGCGATCAGAATGCCTCTGCATAAAACGGGCAGTCCAATTCTTGCCAACACCCTCATTTGGAAATTTCGGTCCAAGGCAAGCATTAGCAATGAGATTGACATGCTCTCTAATGCAGCGATGGTTCTCAGGCCAACTGAGCCGACCCATCTCCAGAAGAAAATTAACAACGACATCTTCCTCAATGTTTGTGAGCCACCGGCGATGCTCCTGAGCCTCCAGACGAGTGTGGCCACCGTCAGATAAATGTGCCAAGGTAGCATGACTAAGGGAGATCTTGACACCTGTCTCATTGAAATATAGGTTCTCAAAATCTCTACAGATTTTGCGAAGCCCATGACGAGCGCCATGGTTTGGATTTTTCAATTCAGTGAGATAAGCCTGGAGAGCACATGACATGAGATCATCATGCTGCCAATGGATGACTGCAGCCTTTTCAGCTAGAGATTTGGGTCATCCAGGCATGGGTAAGGTGAAGAGCACTATGTGATTTGGATGCTGAAGTAGAAAAATGACACTGAATATAAAAACCGTTGAGAGATGTGCATGCATCCAACACATGTTTTAATCTACAACCCCTTGCACAGTCTCTGTGTTTTATGTAGCCTATTTGAATGAAAAATGGATAGTTTCGAGGCTGACAGAAGCTTTTAATACTAAGGCAATATGTGGATGTGAATTGCCCCCTTAATAGCTCCTCAAAACCATTGGTAGTCCATCAATGAAATTCATGTCACTACAAATCAGCAATTTCTTTCGCAAAAAATTGCATATTTCACAGTTATTAGCCATTCATTTCATGTATTTCTTACATGAATTTATTTATACTACTCCTGTACTTCCAATGCAACTTAGTTCAAGGAAAAATGTATCCTTGTCGTCTTAGGAGGACCCAAACAAGTTTCACTGTCTCATGGTCATGTGGTGTCTCATTGGCCGGTGAATGACTGTACCATCAACTTGTGGATGTGGGCCAGTGCTTTGCATGGCATGTATGAGTCCTTTCTGTGGACCTCACATGCTGAGAAATATCTAGAATAACTTTCTTCTTAAAAACCATATTTTTATATTTTTATTGGCAAGGGATGCAAGCCACATTAACTTGAACCAAATTATTGTGAAACAATTGTAAGGAGTAACAATGTCCAAAAGATTGTAATATTATTTGACATTTATTTACAATTATTTACAATTATTATTTTAAATTAATGTGGCTTGCATTCCATGTTGTAAAGATCTTAATCTTATTTTTATTTATGATTCCAGATTTTTTTAATCTTTTTGTCACCTTCTTGGTTTGATAATGAGCACAGAATGTAAAGTAATAATTTCAATATTGTACGATCATAAATATATTTTTCTACTAATATTTTGCTGTTAAATTTACCAAGACAAAGTTCTAATTTAAAGTTGAGAATATACAGCTAAAACAAGTTCCTGATCTTCATAGTATCTAAGATCATTATTGCTTTTATCATCCAGCTGCCCATCTTCTATGCATTTATTTTTGGTGGTGATCCCATCATGGAACCAAACTTTACCCTCAGATGAAAATACTCTAGAGGTGAAATGATTGTCTCCATGGTATATGATCCCTCTTAGCCTTAGCAAGACTTCTTCTCCATTTACCACAAACTTTACCTTCTGACTAGTTTTGGTATTACAGTATGGGTACTCCAGGATGATAATCTTTGGAACCTCTGCATAGGCACTTCAGTCACCCACTGACAACTGACTGTTAGTCTTGCAAACTCCATGAATACTATGGGACTAAATGTCAGGGTGTATATCTATATTGTATATATTCTGGGGCTTGTATATCTCCACTTTTACCTAAATATATTTTGTTGTCCAATGTCACACTAAATATATTTCTATTGTGTCACACACCCCAAAATATATTTCCTCACTGGAATGGACTCCAAATATATTTCTTATGCCTGGACCCTGAATTGTGACTGTCACAATGTAGAAATATATTTCTTGTCTGGGATGGACTTGGGATATATTTTGCAGCTAGGGTTGACTAAGGATATATTTTTTCACCCACAAGGGGTGTCTGGGGTCCTATATTTATTTAGCTATTATTTTGTAGGCAGAATACCCTCATTGGGATGTTTGTTGACAGATATTTACCAATAGCTTTGACCCATGTGTAGTATATGCATTGATGTGTGCACTATTTCCTAATTGGGAAAATCATTACACTTTTTTCTGCCACACCTGATGTCAGGCACAGTGTGCATTTAGGTTGGGAACTGTTTCCCACGCTTTTTGGGCCAGAAGAATTAATGGCTAGCATGGTGTGGTCATTGTTAATGATGATGTGTGCACTATTTCCTAATTGGGCCATTTCCTAATTAAGAAAAGTGTTACACTTTTTTCTGACACACCTGATGTCAGGCACAGTGCACATGTAGGTTGGGAACTGTTTCCCACGCTTTTTGGGCCAGAAGAGTTAATGGCTAGCATGGTGTGGTCATTGTGAATGACAATGTGCGCACTATTTCCTAATTGGGCCATTTCCTAATTAAGAAAAGCGTTACACTTTTTCAGACACACCTGATGTCAGGCACAGTGCACATTTAGGTTGGGAACTGTTTCCCACGCTTTTTGGGCCAGAAGAGTTAATGGCTAGCAGGGTGTTGTCATTGTGAATGACGATGTCCACATATTTCCCAATTGGGAAAGTCATTACATAATATCAGTTTGGTTTGTAGTGTCCGGTTTTTTCATTAGAAGAATGTGTAGTGTTTGCTTTATTCATTAGAAAATTGTGTAGTGTCTGCTTTTTTATTATAACACTTTGTAGTGTCCACTTTATTCATTAGAAAATTGTGTAGTGTCCACTTTTTTCATTACAACACTTTGTAGTGTCCACTTCATTCATTACAAAATTGTATAGTGTCCGCTTTTTTCATTAAAAATGTATGCAGTGTCCCCTTCTCTCATCACAAAGGTGTGTAGTGTCCGCTTTATTCATTGCAAAATTGTGTAGTGTCCGCTTTATTCATTACAAAATTGTGTACTGTCTGCTTTTTTCTTACAACACTGTGTACTGTCCGCTTTTTTTATTAGAAAACTCTGTAGTATCCGCTTTTTTCATTAGAAAACTGTGCAGTGTCTGCTTTTTTTCATTAGAAAATTGTGCAGTGTCCACTTCTTACATTATAAAGGTGTGTAGTGTCCGCTTTTTCATTAGAAGAATGTGTAGTGTCCACTTTTTCATTACAAGTGTGTATGTAGTGTATGCTTTTCTCATTAGAAAACTTTGTGGTCTGCCTTTCTGATATCTTGTCACTCCAGCAAAACAGCCCTTCATCATTTGGAATTCATACACCAGTTGTGTTTTGACTGAGCATTAAGTGTCCTAACTTTCTCCTTGAACAGCATCTGACAGTAGCCCCAACAGCTGGCAAATCAATCACTGAGATTGTCTTGAAGGAGATCATGTTGAGGTTGGCTATGGTCAGACATACAAA